CTGTAGCCCTGGCTAGTGTGGAGCACTCCTGCTTCTGTCGCCTAAGTGCTAGGATTAAAGACGTGCACCACCACACCCAGAGACATTATGTCATCTAACCATTTAACCTTTTTATCTCCATCAAGAAGATACTGCTCTTGCCAGTTTGCAGATGAGTACACTGAGGCAAATCACCCTGCTGTGTGTCAGAAACAGTGAAATGCGGATTTTAAGTGCGCTCCTCCAGACTCAGAAACGTGTGCTTAATAGCATTCAATGAACCAGTATCATATGATAACTGTGCCTTATTGATGTTCCTCTGGCATTTTTCTCTTTTCCAGTAATCTTGCACAGAATGAAAACTTAGTAAGACTAAACCTTTGTGGGTGTTCTGGATTTTCTGAATCTGCTCTGAAGACTCTGCTAAGCAGCTGCTCCAGGTAGGAAAGTTCTGAGCTGAGGCTATAGATAGAGCTCTTGGGTCAAATGTAGTTATGCATCACATCTGAATAGTGATGAGCTTCTGAATGATGCCAAAGTACTGGCTTGGGCAATGTGGTATCTTTTGCTATGCAAACATCCAGGCTAAACTCAGAGCCAAATGGGTTCTGGAGGGATACTTGTACAGTAATTCCTTTTTCTGTTTGCTATTTTTAAAGTAAGGGACATAAAGCAGTGTATTTTTCACAATGTAGTTGAAAGAAAACTCTTTATACTTAACTGTGCAGTCAAGTTATCACATATTATCTGTAGACCTAATGTGATTTTTTTTTTTCATCAGATATGGCACTTTGTAATTATAAACCAGCTTTAATATGGCTAATTCCATTTGCATCTTTTATAATGTCAGTACCTGAAGAGCATAGTTCAGGGGCTGGAGAGATGACTCAGTGGTTAAGAGCACTGGCTATTGTTGCAGAGGACCTGGATTCAGTTCTTAGCACCCACATAGCAGCTAACAACCATCCATAACTCCAGTGCCAGGGGATCCGATGCCCTCTTCTGGCTTCTGTGGGCACTGTGTGCATGTGTTGACATACATGCAGGCAAGCACTCATACACACAAAATAAAAATAAATTTTAAAACGTTTTTTAAGAGTATAGTTCCGATGTTGTTGAGTGAGGGGAGACATGGTGTACAGACCACACAGTATAGAGTGTATTATTCTTTTTATCCCTTGGTCTCTATCATACACCATTTATACCTGTGTTTTCTTAATGATCTATCAAAAGTGGATTGCCTTTGCATAAGAATATTATTGGAGAGAGAAAATACACAGCACTAGGGCTGGAGAGATGGCTCAGCAGTTAAGAACACTGAATGTTCTTGCATAAGACAGGGTTCAAATCCCAGCACCCACATGGCAGCTAATGACTGTCCTTAACTCCAGTTCCAGGGGAATCCAAAGCCCTCTTCTGACCTCTGCAGCATTGCACGACACAGGTGCACTTACCTACATGCAG